TCTGAAATAACTTCTTCTGTCATTATCTGTCCCCTGAACTTACTTCGTTTTCTTTGGAAACACGCTTATCTCACCCCTAGAAAACTTTACCTGCTTTTCTGGAGTACTGTCTCTTTACTGACTCCCTGTTCCTTGAAGAAGGAGACTGATTTTTAAACTGCTGTATCTTTAGCAACTTTTGTTGTGCTTTCTTTCCTTTCCTTTCCTTTTTCTTTTTTTCTTTTTGACATAGGGCTTTGCTGGCCTCGAACTCACAGGGCAATTGTCCTGCCTCAGGCTTCTGAGTGCTGGAATTACAGAAGTGTACCACCACACTAGGCTCCACAGTGTTTTGAATACTGCCTGAGACACAAATACTCAGTAAGTATTTCTTGAATGAATGAATACATCTTTGGAGAAATAAAGACAAGGAAGTTATCTCAGATTTTAAAACACTGATGCTACCACATATACAGAAATAAAGTTTTGGCATTTTCCCCACAAATTCACCCAGAGGAGACAGGAAGACTGATCAGTGCTGACCATCAGAAGTGAGGCTTTCACTTTTCAGATGTCTGACCTCACCCAGTACTTCCAGAAAGGCTCTGCACCAGTGGCCAGGATTCACAGAGTAGCTCTGAGTACAACAATGTGTAGCTTCTGTTCATCCACCTCCTCTCCCTCAGTCGCATCCGGGGAGTCAAGTCTGTGGGCGGTCGATGGGGATGATGTGAGTGTTGTGTCTGCTTTGATTCTGGCCTTCTCCTTAAGGCTCAATTTTCCCATTTGTAAAAGGAGTTACTGACAAAAAAAAAAAAAACAAACTTCACAGCATCTGGGCAGACCAAATGACCTGACACGTGAAGCCAATGTTTAAGTAATGGTAGCTGTTCCTCCTTTGTAGCTTTCTCCATTGGGCCAAACCTACTTCTACCAGGAAGCCTTTCACTTCTGACTAGGGTCTCTTCAGTTATCACAGCCTGTCTGTCGAGATTTCGGGTGGAATCCAGAAATCCACAGAGCCGCAGCCAGGGTTCAGGAGAGACTGTTGTCATCGCTCACACTGTCTCCCTGATGAGAGGCAGGATTCTCCAGTGCAGTGCTGTATCCTTCTCATGTTCCCCTTGGGCTGCCCTGGTAGACGACAAGTTGGCTGAGAAAGACAGTACTCAAAAGAACACCCCTGGTCTCTGTCTTCCTGTCAGAGGTGACCCTAGCATCACACTCTGATCAGCCGACCTGGGTATTTGGTCCTGTGTTTCCACTGTCTTACCTTTCTGCAGCTTGCAGCTATAGGAAAAGCACCTGGCTGTTGAGAAGCTTCCTTCAGTGTGGCAGTCCCCGGAAATAGCTTGAGCCAAAGCTAATAGTGGTCCTACACATTATTCATGATGAGGAATACAGAATGGAACATCTCCCTAGGTGGAGAGGAGCCTCAGAAGGCAGGAAAGAGCTGGTCCTCAACATCCATGTGACGAGTTGGCCTCAACCATAAGGACAGAAGGGAGTCACTTAAAGGTAGGAGAGGTGGCCTCATACCCTTCTACATCATCATCTGTTCTTTATTGCTTAGTATCCTACTTCATTCAGTTATACAAATGGCAGGTTGGTTGATCTCTGTTGTGAAGTACAATACTGATGTATAATTCATTGTGTGAAGAAAGCATATTCTATGTTTCCTCTCTCTCTTCTTTGAAATAAGACAGATGGTAGAGTATGATGGTGTACACTTGTAATCCCAGCACTCAGAAGGCTAAGGAAGAAGACTGCCATGAGTTAGAGACAGCCTGGACTAAGACAGCTGGCCTAAATGACAAGCAAGATCCTGTCTCAAAAAAACAAAACAAAACAAAACAAAATGAACAACAATAACAAAATGAGAGAGCTAACAGAAAGTAGTAACATATATATATATATATATATATAAATATACATATATATATATAACAAGGTGAAAGAATGAAGTTGAAGCTAAAAAGAACTACTTGTATCTCGCCTTATCTTAGAAATCAAGAGATTTATGTTGTATTTTCTTAGTAAGATGAGAAGCACACAGGCATATGTAAGGTTTTAAAGGGCAAATGGCAAAATCAGTTTCTGTTTCTAGTAGTCACAGGTTTCTTGAGGTCAAAACCTTTGGGATTGTACAGAAGCTTGGGGAAGAACAAGAAAAGATGTCAATCCTTAGAGAAAACACAGCTGTCTCCAGCACTCACAAGTTTTTTAGGGTCCCTGGATGTAAAAGAAAAGTCTCTGAAATTAGGACAAAGTTAAAAATCTGTCTGTAAGATGTGAAGATGTATCAAAAAGAAAGGAAAAAAGAAAAAAAAAAGAATGAAAGGAGAAAGAAAAAGGAAGGGAGAAAGAAAGCAAGCTCTAATGCTTTTAGAAGACTAGGCCAGCATAAGGAAACAGTGGGGCACTGTACGTGAGTTCACACACTTTGTCCAGAGTGGGCTCTGCGTCAGGATGAGAGTGAGGATGCATAACCAGCCTTGGTTTTTGTAGCCCGAACGGAGATGAGAGAAACAGAACTTCGGGCTTCAGATCAAACAAAGTGAGAGCAGGGATGGCCTCTTTCCTGTTCCCCTAAAGGTTATAAAAGTGTTCTCCCCCGCCCCCAGACTAGCAGAACAAACCAGGTTCTGTTCCTTCCTTAGGAAAACTTATTTCTACTGTATCCTCTTTTGAGTACTTGTAAAAGTTGGTGAAGCTGATTCTTCCCTATTGCCCTAGATTCTTCCACACTCAGCAAAAATCAACAGGAAAAAGCTTTAGTCATTGATAACAGTGAATGCAGGGGCCCAGATGCGGCCTTAATGAGCTGCCGGCACTGACAGAGGGTAAGACAGAGACACAATCTCCAGCTCGTGTTTATAGAATAACAGGTTTGAAAGCACAGGAGATACTGAAACCTAGGTAAATTTATTCTGACAGTGACAACAGCATCATCTCTGACACAACTCATATCGGTCTGAAGATTCATTCTGGAACTGTCAAAGCTTTCAAGCAGAAAATTATTCTCAGTGGCTGCAACTTGGCTAAACAAATTTCACTGCACAAGGAAAAATGAAGTTACTTTCGGAAGTGTCTTACCAAAAGACTCTCAGCAAGGAAACCAGAAATAACACTGCTAGCAAGGTAGGTAGTATGATTTCCAAGCTGGTGCCCAGGAAAAGAGCAGGTTGTAGGGACAGAAGAGGTGACACGGATCTACCAGGGAAGGTGACCTGGGCATGTTTAGGGAGAGGTAAAGAATCAAAGCCAGCCATGGTGCCAATCAAGTCTTGGGCAAACTGGAGGGTAGTGTGACCCAGCAGTCAAAGCTGTGACAATTTGAGGAACAAAATAAATAATGGCAATACTGGACACAAACAGAAAATCAAGAAACATCATGATTCCAACCTGATATAGATTCGTCATTCATTGGGAATGCCAAGTAATGATGAAAGAAAAGGCAGCTTTTACTTAGAAAAAATAAAGGAGTAAGGAAAATAGAAAATCCCCACTAGGTAAACATGACACTGATAATTGTTACAGGCAAGAATTACTTGATGGATCTTCAAACTAGTGGGTAAAACTATGAAAAGAAAAACAAGTTGACTTTGCTAAGTATTTAACTATGTCAAAGTATTTTCCTATAAGATGTATATTAACTATAAATTTTTTTAAAAAACCCTATCTTTGCAGGTGGAAAAAGCTGGCTGACACAATTTTAACTGAGTGGTCAGATCTACTGTCTAACACCAGGGGCTTTATATTCCCTGTCCCGCTGATGTAACACACTGTGTGAAGGGAACAGCAACTTCTCTGTGTCCGTGTGACTCCAAATATGTAATCTCAATCAGATCAGGAGAAACACCACAGAAACCCAGAAAGAGACAGTCTATAAAGTGATCGATCTAAACTCTTCACAAGAGTCAAGGTTGTGTAACACTTGGGGAGAGGTAAAGGAAACAACACAGGCATGCTTGTTATCATCAGTGTGTTCCAGAAAAGGCCATTACTGGGAATTTGAAGTGTGAATGAGCTTTATGATTAATTAGGTGCCCTATCCAAGTGTTAATTTCCTATTATCGATGGGAAAATTCCTATCAAAATTTTGATTCCTAACAAAATTCTATTATTGACAATAAATTCCTATTATTGTAGACTATAATTTGAGTTAGATGTTAACACTGGGTTAAGTGTAGATGAGAGTGTGTTACATATGCAACTAATCTGTAAAATTATTTAAAAAATGAAAAGTTAAAGATAGAATTAAGCTTAGCTTGATTTCATTTGGTAGCCAGCCAGGGCCAGGCTGAGATGTTTCCAGGTAAGATCTAAGACCATGACAGAAATTACTGAGAGAAGTCAGGAAAGGATGTAGCAACGTGGGCTGCTACTGTTCTCGCCTCTTGGCTGATCAGGGAACAATGCTGCCTTTAGCAATAGTCTCTCTAACTGTGTACCCTAAAAACGTGGGTCTCATACTCAGTGTTCAATAACTTTAATTCCTCAATAACATCTCTTCTCTAGACTTTTCAAAACAAAACTAATACAACAAGCTATTTTACTCATTTTACTCAACCAAAAAGTCACATCTACAAATACACCTGAATTCTTTTTCCAGAACTCATAACTTGAAAAACTCTTAAAATACAAAAATAACTAAAGCCAGAGGCTTATTTGAATGTTACCAATTGGATAAACAGAAATAATTGTTATAGTGTTAGTTTACTTCTTGCTGGGTATTAAAATATTTGTAGAGAGTTGCATCAAAGCAAAGTAGTTATGTAAAACCTTATGAAAGCAGATACAAAGCTTTACGTTCCAAACATGTTTTTTGGCTTTTAAAACTGTGGCTGTTTAACATAATCCCAAATTGTCCTGCAATGGGTGTGCCGTACAGACATTTGCTGTCACTATAGAGATGCCTGCTTAGTGGTTCATCCCAGAATTATGCTGTAAGCCAATAATACACTGAATCATTGTGCCAGCAGGCCCACCACTGTGTCACGCTTAGGGCCTATACATACCTCCCACCGCGTTACAGCGAGATGTCATTTCCCAGAGCACCAATGCCATGGAGTAGACATCGGTCTGCTTGAAGGACTCAACATTCTCCAAGTTCATCCTGGATTCCAGGACTTCTGGGGCCATGTATCTTGCAGTTCCCACCTAAGGCAAAAATAGACATTGAAGCATATCATTTAATTCCAGGCGGATCTCTGTTTTCACAGTGTAACAGGAGCTCGTCCCTTACAAGAGTAAGCGATCTTTAAAAAGAATGCAATGCTGTCCGAAATAATGAGAACTGCACAGAAAGATACAGCATCTAAGGTGATTGTTAAAAATAGATGTTCTTTCCTTGAAAAGCCTTTGAAGACTATAAACAAAGCATGCTAAAATAAGGAAGTGCCAAAGCCCAGGGTAGTCTTATCAGTCCCGTGGCATCCCATTATTCAATAACATCCTTACCGATAACTCGAGAGACAACATCTGTGATATTTTAGATGTTTATTTTTGCTTCTGCAAATTAAACATTTTTAAATTCTTGAAACTCTAGGCTTACAATGAAAATAATCACCATCAATTTTCATCATGTAAGGATTGTTTCAATCTTTGTTTACCCCATGGCACATTCCAGTGTGTCAAGGATGTAATATAATTTCATAACTCTCTACAAAACTGAAGTCAAGTGAAAGTATTTTCACAGTAAAAGGCCAAAGCCGAACATATAATTTTCACGAGTGTGTCACAGAGTTGTATTTTGACTTTTAAGCTTGTGCTACTCTCTATTATGGATAGTACACAAACAGGGGACCCATGGGGAAAAAGAAGAAATATGTTTAGGGGAAATATTTCAAGTGTAAACGCTTGATATTGCAGCCTGTCCATCCTGATGAAACTGCAGTAACTGTCCTGGCTTTCCAAGGACCTAAAGAAGGTCACGTAACTTGCAATCATTCCCGTGAACATTACTTACTGGCATGTAGCACAAGCAATTTTTCTTTTTTACTGGTCATTGCATGACTCAAAATCCTGACATATTAGTTTGTTTGGTTTCAACATGTTTATCTTAATACTCCTGTGCAGCCATGGGCACAGAGGGCTCACTGAGCCGTAACTGAGTAACCCAGAAGCACATGCTGCCGTTTGGCCATCGTGAACGCCTTAGTACAAAGACATGGGCTCATCATTTAGAAAGGATGCCTTGGTAACTTCTAACATCGTTCCAGTAACACCTTAGCCAAAGAAATTTCCACTTGAACCTGTGAGACTGTTTGAAAAGCAGAACTGATTTCTCAACAAACAGTTATTGTCCACTTTTCAGGCACTGTGTTAGGTGTTTTGAGTGACCACAAATAGGTGGATTTGGACTTCTACCTTCTGGAATCTAGAAACTCATATAACTACCAGTAGTATAGGATGGAAAGGAATATACACCATTATGGGGGGGGGGAGAAAATAATACCAGCACTTGAAGCAAAGAAAAATTATTCAAAAATGGAAATGAGGGTTAAGCATAGGAGGAAAATGTTTGTTCTGAGACAAGAAGGCTTTGAAGACAGGGCTGGAAATGCTGTCCTTTAGCAAAGGTACCAGGCAAGAGAAGGTGATGCTGTCGTGCATTGACTCCTGCTTTTGGCTAGATTCTCTAGCCAAGTATTCAGAGACTAGAACTACTTGAGAGAAGAAGCATGAGTTATGGGTCAAGACACAAGGTGTTGTCAGCCACAAGGAAAGAGGATCTACAACCAGTTCTCACTTACTTGCCCACTGTTAGCCAGGTCGTCTACCGACAGAGTAGGGTCCAGACGCAGGGAGAGGCCGAAGTCACACAGGCAGCAGGTCAGGTCATTCTTCACCAGGATATTGGAGCTCTTGAGATCTCTGTGCACAATGGGCATCTTAGGTCTCCCACATGGTGTGTGGTCACTATGGAGGTGGGCGATGCCCCGGGCAAGGGAGCTACCCAACTTGCGTAGGTCCTCCCAGCTGATGACATGCCGGGTGAGGTACTCCTGCAGGTTGCCCTTGGCATGGAAGGCAGTGATCAGCCAGTACTGTTTGCCCAGCTCTGTCTTCCGCTCCTCAGCTGTGAGGAACTGGAGGATATTCTCATGCTTCAGGTTGATGTCAGAGAAGATGTCTTTCTCTGTTTTCCAAGAGGCGTACTCCTCGTAGGGGAAGATCTTGACTGCCACAGTCTCAAACTGCTCTGAAGTATTCTGCTTCAACTTGGCCTTATAGACCTCAGCAAAGCGGCCTTTGCCCACCAGTGTGTCCAGCTCGATGGGCAGCAGCTCCGTGTTGTGGTTGATGTTGTTGGCACACGTGGAGCTGATGTCAGAGCGGTCATCTTCCAGAATGATGGCGCAGTGCTCGCTGAACTCCATGTGCTTCCGTGGCTTGCTGCTCTCCCAGGATGGACCCAGCTTCTGCTGCCGGTGCACACGGTAGCAGTAGAAGATGATGATGACGGCTATGGTGATGCCTAGAGGTGGCAGCAGACTGATGCCTGTTACTTGGAATATGACTAACCACAGGTCAGTATTGCTGGCAGCATCTTCTGATGTGAAAAAAAAAAAAAAAAAAAAAGGAGAGACAGAGTTGGGTCAGTGGGCACATACTGTCAAGAAGTAAATCCATCCCACGTTAGCATGTTTATACTTTTTGTTGATGTTATAGTATGAATATTCTCCAGTCCAGGCTGCTAAGTATATACTTGTTCATTCTTTCCTATCTCTAGTCATCCAGCATCTCCTATCCTTATTGCAGCTTAAATGTCACTCCCTAAGGGAAATTGAGGAAGTTAGTGAAATATGATTTTTATATTTTTACATATTCTTATAGTGGCACTGATCCTGCAGTGGATTTGTGGGTATCATTCCCTACTCCCCCCAGCCCCAGAGGACATGGTGCCACGAGACACCCTCACTGACGTAAACAGCATTCAGCACACTGCAGAACCTTGATCTTGTTGAGTGACATTTACTGAATGTTACCTAAGGCCAAGGCACTGCAAACAGCATTGGGAATACAGACAGGATGATGCCATTTCTACCATCAAAAACTTAGCATAGGTGGGGGCTTCTAAAAACACAGATACTGTCAGGTTCTGCCAGTTCTGAATCTTTGCTCGTTTCCCAGTTCCTATTTTGTTTTTCTCTGACCAGCATCCAGGCTGCCCTGACTCATCAAATCTGGGCTGTTAGAGGAATTACTGAAAGGATTTATTTGGATGTCTGTTACTTTGTGTCCACCTAATACTCCTCTTTTCACTGTGGTTGCCATTTGTCATTTCACAGAACAGAAACAATTAACAGTAACAATGGAGCTGCTACTATAAATTTACGAAAAGTTAAAGATGGAAATGTAGCCAGTTTTCTGACTTGGAATACTGAAGCAAAGCCTTATGCTTAAGGAAGAAGAAATGTCTTAGCTATCAAACTTTAGTTCATTTGTCAGTCTTGTTGGCTCTGATTTGTTTTTGTCTCAGAAAAAGGAGTATGAACAGAAACAGGCAGTCAGCAGGAGACAATGAAAGGCAGCAATAGTTCAATTAAAGCAAATGATTGGTCTTCCATTGGGCAAAAATGTGGGAATTACATTGCTCTGTGTGTCATTCATCAGCCCTTGAAGTTACTCATTAATGAGCAGGCCTCAGATTCAGATGTCAGATTTATCCATTCAATACATCCACTGCAGAATGTCTACTATGGAATGACACTGCCTTCAAAGAGTATCCAGTAGAGAAATCAAGGGATATATACAAATGCTGACTGACGTACAGCATTCTGAAATCAGAGCTTAATGTGTGGTGCAATCTATGTGTTGGTGGAATATGAAAAAGATTAGAGAAACATGCAAAACACAGTGGCAATAACTGCCTTTGAGCTGGCCTCTGATGGGTGGAAGAGGTCAATGATGGGCAGAAACAGTGTCCTGTCCAAGTGAAAAAATATATTCTTTCTCTGGGGAACTCTCCCAGAATTATTCTGCACATGGAAATAAAAAAGGAAAAAACAGCTTTGTAGGGGTTATGGGAACTACATTTCACATCACAGAAGGGATTTTTAACAATTGACAGTTTTCACCTACGTAGGAATCTGAGGAAAAATGTGAAGAGAACACAGTACAATAGTCCCGGTACAGAGAAGACACCCGTATCTCCCAAAGGGAACTGATCACCTAAATAGTGTTGGTTATTGTCACTTAATGAAATACTGTCAGGAATGAAGCTAATACATGCCACTTTTGAATGTGTAGATAAATACAATACAATATGTGGTATGATTCAGTACCTGTTCTTGAAGTAATTCTAAATGGAAATGACAACTTCATTGACTGTAAATTCTAAGATCTTAAATCTACTTTACACACTAAAACTGGAGAAACAATCCTAAAACCTCAGAATTTCAACAACGAGGAGGGGAAAAAGCATCATTTTAGGAAGAGACATATTCACTTAAAATTTAATTTGGTGGAGTTGAAATTTGAAAACACAAATCTTTATTCCAGGAAGTTCAGACAGAGACAAAGGACAGAAAAAACTAGGGACAGATGTGGTGGTAGGCCAAAGCAACTGTAGAAAGAACCAAATACAAAAGAAAAGAAAACAGTAGGCTGTCCCTGCTGTCCCACAGAATATGAGCCTGGAGGGAAAAATTAAAGAGAGAGATGAGAACAATATTCAACTGCAACAGCAGATTACAATGTTAACTCTGGAAATGAAATGCCACCTCTATTATCTAAAGCATCCGTGGATGGATTTGCTTGAAGCACACACCTACTTCAAATGTCTATGTCTATAACTATATAAAATATTTTATATCATAAATCAGTTTCATTACCTGAATGAGGGTTTGGCCAACTATGGCCCAAGGACCTATGACTGGTGACATAGATCTCTTTTACCTCACTTTGAAATACATACACATACATACTTACATGCACACACAAACACACAGAAGTCCTGTAAGTAAAATCCTACCTGTAAACCCTAGAACATAAGCTATCTTGCCTTTTATAGAAAATGTTTGCTGACTCTTAACTTACAGAATTATAACTGGAAGAATCTAGAGAGACTTCACTTTGGTCCAATGTGAAATTCTTCACAATAAGGAAATGCAACTAGAAAAATGTAAATATTAACTACATCATTACTTAGTTGCGTCACCAATTAATTAAACATACAAGTGAACTCTTAAATAGCAATCAATGATAATTTTATTGTAGTCATTCCTAGTCACACATAAAATGGTCTTTCTTTTAATTTCTATGCTTTTCGGGCTAAGGAAAATAGAAGATCAGAAAGCCCCTGAAGTTCATGTGTGGTACTGACCACAGAAAATTCTAGAAATCCCCAGTTCAATGTTAGAAACCTAAGTTTTACTTTCTTCTTAAATTTCCTGTGATTTCTTTTTGAAAATCTAAATGCAGAAATTTGTAGGAGAGGAATTATTGAACAACATTTATCAATCTTGAAACTTGAAAGAGACGGTAAAATCCCCTAACAATAGCGAACCGTCTGAAAGGAAGTCTTGGGATGTGGCTCTTTCTAAGCAGAAGACACCCACATGCTCTCGCATCTTTAACCCTTGGGCTGCTAGTTAGAGTGTAGGCACAACCTGGCAACTCCTTCACTTAGGGACTAACAGAAGTCCTTCTTTTCAACATCTGACTACAAAGACACTCATAGCCTGAACATTTACTATGTATCTGGCTGTGAACTAAGTGTTTTATATAATATTATATTTAGTTGGCAGAAGTATCATGTGAAGTAGAAGCTACAATTATTATACACCCCATTTTACAGACAGGGAAGCTTTTTGGTCAAATAGTTTGCGTAATTTTCCAAGATCATCAACACAGGTAATAACAAAGCTGGTATCTGCAACAAGATCTGACTGAACAGAGCACTAAACATCATTCCATAATCTATAAACTTCACATTGGTAACAGCCAATTAAATGAGTTTATATAATCTTTCAGTGTGATCAAGCGATTTTCTTTCCAGGAGGTTGAATTAAGTGCTTTCATAGACATCTGCTCAGTGACACTGGCAGTTCTTGGATAGACTTCCTTAGATACACAAACCATTCTCCTTGGTTTTCAACTAGAACCACTGCTAGGAAGCGTTCCTGTAAAGACATGTCTTCTTCCTGCCTGGGAAAGAAAGGTCTTACAAAAGAGAACCTGAAAATCTTTTTGTTCCCTTCAGGGCTCACCCCAGGCCCTAGCACATAGAGGGCTCAAGGCAAAAGTATTGAACTACTGGAAACTTCCATGAATAGTTTCTTGTTATGGAACATCAAGCTACGTACAGGGCTGAATGGATGATCTCTAAAGGTCATCTACACACACACACACACACACACACACACACACACACACACACACATACACACACAGCACACACACACACAAACACAAACGCGCGCACATCACAAATTCTTAACCTGAGCTCCATGAATAGAATTCATTGGTTTTATGAATTTAACTAAGCAAAAATCACACCTGTCATTTTCTTCAATCTTTAATTACACTGTTGAATAATATTTCCTAGGATTAGTTGTACCTATGACTGTCTCCAGTTTTTCCATGTTGTTTGTCATACATGTCTTGGAAAATTGCTTGTACTTGTCACTCAGACATTTCATCTTTTCAGATGTGTTGTAAACCTTCTCAAAGCATCACTATAGCAAAATATTGCTATATCATAGGTTCATTTTTAAATATATCCAATCATAGTACTTCAATATAGTTGTTCATTTTCCCCCAAATATTGAGTGTTATATTTCATTCACTTGAAAACTTCATTGAGAGGTGAGTGCTACAGATTAGATTTCAAGAAATCCATGGTGCTCACATTAAAAAAACCAAAGCTCTCTGGGCAAAGTAAAGGCACTGAAGCTCTGGTTTCTCTGCCAGATTTACCCAGAGCAAAGATCTTGAGATTCATCAGGTTTTCCGAGAAGGCGCCAGCTGGTGCCTGGCTTACCATGGTGTGTGTGCTCCATATGACCAATGATAAATTCGATCTGCCTAGAATTCACTTCACAATAACATAGACAAGTGTGTTATGCATGTGTACCAACTCCCCATGTACTAATAAAAATAAAAGTTAAAATGAAAAAAGATAACTAACACATAATATACTTGACTGGGCCGGCTGATGAGTGGCCATCATCTAGTTTTATTTCCCTAACAACTCTGTGAGTTTCCGTTTTTACCGACCAGGGACTATTATTGCCCCCATTTAGCAGAAAAAGATCTTGAGCTGTGGATGTGTCTACAATGCTCTTGTTCCCTTAGTAAATAAAAATTTTTAATATGTAAAAGCTTCCCCTAATCGATGCTCAATAAATAAACATTTTAACTAAGTGACTTATTTAAAATTATTAGGAAATTGCAACAGTTATGACAAGAAAGCAGTATCAGATTTGGACACAGCAAGGGATTTAAGAGTCTGCAAGCAAGCTCCTTTCACTGTCTCGCACACAGTCATACTCAAGTTAGAAGACAGTTTGTTTACTTCTCAGTCACTCCGTACACCATGGGATT